CCTTTTTAAGCATATGTCAGATGTACAGCTTCTGCATTATTACAAGATTCAGATTAGTGCTGCTTAATTAGATTTCAATTAACTGCACCAAAACTACATCTAAAGAGTAAAAATTTTGGTACTCTTCTCCCAGAGGGTTCCAATACAAAAAGTCAATGCAGCCTTACCTTCTGCCTCTACCTCTACTGTATCCACAGGTTCCACGGTCTCTGTATCAGTCATGTAGCCAAACATGGCCATAACGCACTGCTCAAATGCTTCTTCCAAAGTGTCCCCCCAGGCATGTAGCCTAAAAAGGCATGGGATAATTTAACAGACCATACAAAAAAAAAAAAATCCTAAAGTAATATGCAGGTGAGAAATCAGAACACAAGAATTAATGCAGAGGAAGTGAATGAACAAAAATGTTTGCTTTTCTACACCTATGCATTTGGGCAGATTACAAGAGATTTCCCTTCTTGTGGTTTGTGAGAAGAGTTTCTTGGGAGAACATGGAAAATACACATTTTACCAGATGACAAGAAAGTTCTTTCCTAATATGGCTAACTGATGTTTATAAAAGTGAACTACTCAGAAGAAATTTGGTTTAAAAGGAAGAGTTTAAGTGGAGATTTCAAAAGACATTTCCAAATAACAGAGGCTTAATCAGAAGCACCATAGGAATATTACAGTAGAAAAGAAACCAAAGGTGATTCTATGCTCTCCCAAGAGCAGAAACAACATTGACCATCAAAGAACCCAGTGTGTGACCTTCCCTAAGGTGAACATCTGCAAACAGTCTTCAACAGGTATTCCAGATTTACAGCAGTGTAAGAAATAATCAATTTGTCATATTGAGAAATTCCAGCTGCTCATACTTACTGCACATCTGCTGTGTGATCCAAATCTGAGGGGGAAGGAAAAAGAAAAGGCATGACATCACCAAACATATTTTAAAAATGAAGATTAAAAAAAAAAAAAGGAAATCAGATATTGCTGTTATGACAAGAACTTTTTGCATTCGTTTTCAGATGTGAAACAGTGATAATCTATTTTCTAGTACATTAGAAAAAGTTCGCACAGGTGGACTCCTGGATTACTTCTGCCAAGCAGAAAAACAGTGTTTAATGTAATTATGTCAGCGCCCTACGTGTACAGCGCTGTGTGCAAGGTATGGCTGTTGTACACAACAGGCTTCTACAAGTTGACTGCAATAAAAAGAAACTTTAACCAGGAGTAAAGAGTTTTTGCTGAAGTCTGCAGGACTGAAAATTATTCATGCAGAGGATGACATTTGCAAATATTGCCAGCTCAGTGAACAAATATACCTGTTCACACCCAAAAAACACCCATTATGCAAAAAGGAGAACTTTAAAAAAGTATGTAATACAAAATAGAAGGTAATCTTCACTAATAAGGTAGGATTCACATCCCAAGCATGTATCAAGTTTTACGCGAACATCATTTATATTAATTTAGAGCAACGAGAGAAATGCAAAATTATACCAGGTTGGCAGAAACAGAGCTAACTTGGGATGTAAAATAAATGCCACACCGTGATCACTCTAACTGAAAGACTGTTCTGATGCTGTTTAGATCGTTCATGCTCTATTAATGGATTCTCAACAACGGTCTCTAAAGCAAACAAATTCCAGTGGATGCAAAAGAAGAATAAAACCTCTTCCAGTTATGGAAACAGCATAACTATTTTTGTATGTCACCATATTTCTGCACTGCTATCAAATAAGGATCTGAACGCATCCTAAAAATATATATTCTAACAGAGTAATAGACACTGTCCCTCCAGACAGACACCGCTGAAATAGAAAACAGTCAGACACTGAATGGTCTCCTGTGAGCGCCTTAAGCTAGCCCTTGGGCTGCCAGCCACTTGCTTGATGTGTTCTTAGAAAACATTCCAGGGGTGGGGAAAGGGAGAGATAATGATCTTTTAGTAGTGCATGTAGGAGAAGAAACACCACACAGAAGACCAACACACTCTTGAATGTCAATTTTTGAGGAAGGTAGAAAAATGTACTGCCTTGCCAAGAAATAGCTTGGAAGGGGAAAGTTTTCAAGGTGAAACTTAATTAATTTATTCCTATCATGATTTCCTTAGCACCCATAACAACAAAGGCATTTGTCTGTGAAAAAGAAAACTGTAGGTATCTCATCTCTATTAATTCAACTACAGACACACCGCACAGCCTAAGTGCATACGATACCAGCGTATTAAGAAACCCTGCGTGTGCCTAAAAAGCACATCCTGCTCTCTCCCTTCCCCTCCCTCCCCCTCCCGACAGCTCTTGTCGCTCGTACGCCGCATCAGGACGGCATTAGAGAGACTCACATTCGTATTTCTTGTTGAGCGGCGGGTATTTGGCTTTGATAGCCTTCTGCTCCTCCGTCAGGTTGTAGTCCCCCTCTCCTCCCCTGCCATAGCTGCTGGGCTTGAGCAACACTCACTCACTTCCTGGTGGTAGGAAAAATGGCCACCTCCGCGAGTGATTCACCCCTGCCAGGCTTCCCCTGTGATGCTGCGCTAGAAAAAAGGGAGAATTGTCTCTCAGGTCGATTTTTCACTTGATAGTAGTTTCGCAACACTTGTACACAGGCTCAGACATTCGAAAGAGGATACCAAACGCGTGTAATTTAAGTTGTTTGCTGTCAAAACTGTCACTGGGAGACGGGGGACATTCAGAGTTCAACCCTATGCCACTTGCCTCATTAAATGACACGAGTTATGTTCAGCCAGTGAAGCCAAAGGGATTACAGTCCTTACAGAAAGTACGGACTTTGGCCTTTCTGGGATGAACATGTTTCTTCCTCCTTGTTGTGTGCAACACCAAGCGTTCTATTAATCCTCAGATAATAAAATACAGTAATAATGAAAACAGCTGTAAAGTGAATTAAAGTTTCATTGCTTCAGGTAACTTCTACTGAATTTTACAGCTGAGGGTACTCAGCCCACTGGTACCTTACACAGCAAGCTGAAATAGGTGTTGCTGCCAAATCCCTAGATGTGACCTTACAAGGGACTTTTTTTTTTAGGAAAAAAAAATAATCTAGTTTTCTCTTAGGACAGGGACTGTATTTAAGCCTTCAAACCTAGAAGCACATGCATGGTAGATACGACTGTCACACAAGTGCAGGGGTTTTCCTGTGTTCCTTTTCTTGCAGAATGTGGGGGTTTAATTAAAAAAAACCAAACAATGAACTGTATCAAATCCCCATTTAAAAGTCTTATTCTCAGACCAGATCTTAGTAGTTGCTGTTTCATTTGTAGATCTAACAGACACAAATTGGAGAACCTGATTAACTTCAAGCTAATTAATTTTCCTCAGACGAGACCTCCCCAGATTTCCAGATACAATAAGCATTCTCACTAGTTCTTAATTTTTTTTTGCGCATGGTAAGATTTATCCCCAGCTGAGCCCAAGACTTCCCCAAATAACGCAAGTTGTATATTTATAGATAGCATATAACATCCAAGACTACTTTTAAACAGGAGTGGTTCTTATTCCAAAGCTCAGAAACAAGACTACACAGGATTTCCAGTTTCTATTTTCAAGTAAGGGTCTAGGTATTTTGCACAGAGAAGTCTGGAATTGAGAAGCCAGTGCTCCTCTTGGGGAATAAACCCAGATGAAATCACATTTTGATTTTAAACCTGTCAAGCCTTGACCACGGGCAGTCAGATCCACGACTCGTCACGCCGGGTTACGCGCAGCAGGCCCACCAGAACCAGCTACACGCTAAGGAGGGCTGTCTGTAAAGCTCACCGCCGCACTGAATTAGGGAAAAAGGGAAGTTATTAGTGATTATATACAATTAATAACCGAAGAGCAAGTTGAGGATACTCCGAAGGTTTCTGGGCAGCCCTGTGAGGAGGGAGGGCTGTGAGGGCCGGGCCTCGGCCCCACACACGCACCAGTCCGGTCCGGTCTGCCCACGGCTGCGGTGACCGAAGGAAACGACAGCAGTGGCGGCAGCCAGGGGCCTTCCCGCTCCCAAACCGGTGCCTCGCCCAAGAGCCGCCCCTGCCACGGGGCGCTGCCACTTTAAGAGCTGAGCGAGAGGCGCGCGACGCCCTCCCCTTCCCCTCCGAAAAAAAAA